GAGCGCGGGAAGAGCTTCCCCCGCCGCAGGGCTGGAGGCCTCGAGGTCTTTGCCCTTAGCCCTGCAGCCCCCGGGCCCTTCGTCTCCCTTCCCTCCGACGGCGCGGGGGTGTTTCCTCTCCCTTCTGCGAGCCAGGGATCGCTCCCACAGTCCCTTCTCAGCAAGCTGGGAGCCGCTAATAAACATTCCCGCTTTATCTTTCGTTTTGTTCACATCCAGCAGCGCCCTGGGAGCTGCTCCGCGAGGACTCGGCGCTTAAAATAAATTCCAGCGATCCCTCAGTTAAGAAAGAACAGAGCACCCATCAGCGCGCTGCTTCTTAAGGTTGTCTCTGCTGGTTTTCTCAGACACGAGCTAGGTCAGCCTAGGGCTGCTCTGAAACAAGTTGCTTCTGGTACTGCAGTGTCCATACTTCCCTCTGCCGAACAAGGTAGTCTTTGGTGCTCTGGCCATGGCAGGTGGTGCCCGAGCCCTGCCAGGCTGCTGAGCAGGAAACAGATCCTGCTGCTGGCTTTAAAATGGCTCCTCCAAAGTGTAAATGCAATGCCAAAACGGAAGGCAAAAGATGGGTATGGTACCGCTGAAAGTACTTCCTGAAGATGTGTTTGTTTGTTTGTTTGTTTAAACTGTATTGCTTCAGTTAAAAAATGATGTACAGATCTTTCTGAAAGATGCATTAGTGTCCTAGAAAAACAAGTTATTTTAGTAGACGAGAAAACCAGAAAGACATGTCTCTGAAGTCTGTTGCTGCGTTTAGAAGGAATCAACCGCGTTTCCAAAGGCTTAAAACTTTCTCTTACCAGTGTTTACATTAAAAACTTGTTGCTACTTTTGTATCTGCAGAGCTCAGTTAAGGAAACTGTTGAAAACCTTTTTGCACGCTCTGGACTCTCAGTTATCTTTGTTGTTTTGTCTCTGTGCGCAGCTGTGTTTGTGTTGCATCTTTGGGTTTGCATTTGCTGTTGTCTGCAGTCCCCTGCTCATACCACCAGACTGGTGCTGTCTCAGATGGGTTAAATGACTGCTTTTTGGGTTTGCTCCTGGTTGAGCCCTCATTGGATTTTTGCAACATTAATCTTGATTCTTCTTGCATTTTTTTTTGTATGGCTTCTTAATAACTCGTCTGATACACTTGTCAAAGGCTCAGAGTAAGATAATGATCTTAGCAATGAGAAAAGTTGGGAAGACTTTAAGTCTCAGATATGGACTTCTCACTTTGCTGCTGTCAGGTGATGTCATTCTTCAGAAAGATTAACAGGATCAATAATCTCAGAAATACCTGCTTTGTTGTAAAGCTCATTTTCTATATGAAGTTACTGGTTTGTTTGAGATGATAAGAGTTACCCTCTTGTTACCCAATCACTGAGCTGAGCTATGTAAGCCTTGATAATATGGAACAGTACATTTTATTATAGGATTTTGCCCTTTAAACAAAAAAAAAGAGGTAAACATAGAATAATGTAGTAGTCTGGGTACATGCTAATGCTTCGTGTTCTCTTGGCCTTTGTGTTGTGTAGGTAAACCTACTGGGTAAGCCCAGTTTTAAAAATCCAAGCCTCAATCTGCTGTCTTCAAACCTCACACTGGCTACTGCTGAAAGTACCTGCTACCAACTAGAAAGCTACTGCTTCTTCAACCACCTCTTTACCAGATGGGTCTTTGCTGTCAGTATACAGCCATAACCTTTTGTCTCTAAGGGTTGAATGGTCTTAGGATATTTGTGTGGGCTAAATAAACCCGTTACAGTGTGTTTTGTGTTTTTCCTACAGCACATTATGTTTTCCCTGCAATGTTAGTTATCACCTGTAGAAAGCCATACCATAAATGTGGTGCAAAGATAGGTGCATCGTGTTTATTTTTGTAGTGTAGCATTTAATTTGGCTCCAATTTGTGGCAGCTAACAAAGAGCTCATTATGTATAATTTCCCCAGGTTTCCAATTCTGAAGAAATTATTGTTTAAACATTGCTCAGTATTTTGGAAGCAGCGAGAGTTTTTCTACACAATGTCATTCCCCAGAAAAGCAGTAGAAATAAGGGCCCATTCACAATAGCGTTAATCTTACCTTCTTTCCAGGTTATTTTGAGGGAAGCTTCTCCCTGGGATCAGAGCCAGTGGAGTAGCCATGTAGTTAAAAAGGTAAAAGGGCCCAAGTATTGAAGTAACTTCATTACACAGGTACCTTGGTGCCTTGGAAGGCAGTGTCTTTTTTGTACCTTTTGTGGCAATACATAGCTCTTTGTGCTGGAATAAAATTACCTTATTCAATGGCTTTTGTAAATTGACTTTCCTAAGGCCTTGCTTATTGGTTATAAACAGGATAATTCTATCAACTGTTGGAGATACCTTCTCTTATCAAATAGCTGAATGCTGATGAAGCAGTGCAGTGTAGGCTAGTTGTGGTTTACACTTATTAGAACATAATTACAGCTCAGACAAATTATAAGTTAAATGCTACAAACACATTACCAGCTCTATCATATAGCAAAGAGGAAAAAAAAATAAAGTCATCACTAGACCTTAGAGAATATGGAAACTTCTGTTTGGAAAACTCATGTGATCTGTCTTTTCCAACTTTTGCTCTGTAGACCTGTTTGGAGAATAAAGTTCATTTCACTAAAGTATTACGAGGTGCTGACGCCAGTGGGAACTAAACTACTCTGTTGACTTCAGTGAACTGTGGATCAGATCTGAGGAGGTAAATCCAACTCTTTCTGAAGGCAGTAGGAATTAGTGTGGCATGGGGATCTGGCCTAGGTCTTTATGACGTCATTTCCAGGTCTTCCCTAGAAATTGGGTAATTGGGCTTTGTGATACTCCCCAGGCACAGAAAAGGGACAAACTTTGCTTTCAGGGAAAGTTGCAGCGATGTCTGAGTCACTCCTGAAGTATCAGGAAATGATTGAAGGTGGGGCTGTGACATGCACCGTGGTCAGCAGATCAGAGAGATGAGTGGGGAGAGCGTGATCAGTGCCATTGGAGTGTTTGGCAATCTAGCTCTGAGATTCTTCAGAGGCTGCAAACCTGATCAGTTTTGGGTGTACCCTTCTGAAGATAACCTAAGTCTTGTCCCTAGAAAATAGGTCATATATTATACCAAATTGCAAAACATAGTCTTACTTGTGTTTTCTCAAAAATAAAAAAAAATTAAAAAAAATAATTCTTCCAAAAGTTCCTAATGACTTTTAACTGTTTAAGGCTGACAAAGTTAGGAACAACCAGAAATAGTCTTAGGCTCAAAAATGCCAACAGGTGTTTTTTCTTTTACTGTAGACATTGGTATATACATTATATTATAGAGTTGCTCAGGAAAATTTTTATTAGGACAGTATTAGAATGTTTGTGTACAACTCCTTTGGCAGAGTGGGCCATCTGAAGCCTTGACAGAACTGTAGGAAGAGGAAAATATTGAGAAATTATACAAAGTGTCTTGTCCATCATGTGTTTCTGAAGGCTTCATGCCTTCACAAGCTGAAGTATGCTGCTGCTGAAAGACATGTAATAAAACTAGTGCTTCTGTGTATTTCATTTTTCCTGGATGTTTGAAACCCACTATATAACAGGGAAGTATGGTTAGACTGATTTGAATAATGAGAACATTCAGGGTCATGGAGAACTTAAATGTTTTGGCTATATGGAACTGGTCAAATATACAGCCAATAAAAAAAATAAAAGAGCAGTCATGTCTTTCTGCTACACTGAGTGTCTGACAACTTCTGAACACTGTAAAAAAAAGCTACTTTACACATTTTGTTTATTTTTGGCCTGTTTCTGGATTGACTTTTTTTTTTTTCTCCTTTGGATAATAACAGTTTATAAATGTAACTGTGTGTTTTGCTGAAATTGTCATGCACAAGGGATATGGAAATCAGTTAAGAGGCAGTGGCAGCTCATCTGTAGCTGTCCTCAACATCAGAAGCCCATAGCTTGGTTCTCTATCAGGACTGAAAGTAAGAGTATCTACTAAGAGGTAGAGTGCTGCTGGTTCAGAGGTTCATAAAACTAGACAGGGTGTAGCCACAGGAGAGAAATGCCCATGCAATTAACGTATGTTCTATTTGCGTCTTTGAGGATTGTAGAAACCAACCTGTCTGATGCGTTGTGGCATCCTCACCCCTCTGTCTTAACTCCAGTGGGTGGGGTCAGTAACAACCTTGTCCTCCTCGTATTTACTTGAAAATAGTCTCCCATAGCAGCACTAGCTGTAAAAAGCTTAGTAACTCTTCATCCAGACTACTTTGTAGCAGAGAGTCAAACCTATTGACTCCATACTGGGCCCAGTCCCTCTAAACAGTCGCAGGTTTAGTAGGGTTTGGAAAGGGCTCAGAGGAAAACATGAGACTGCAAGTTGTAGTAAGATAAGCTGCTTTTTTTTCTACTTCCCCCCCCCCAGCCATTCTTTGTGAAAGAAGATACAGATGGAACCTTGTCAAAACCCTTGTTAAAAACCATTTGAGAGAGTCCTAAACAGTTTTTAACATGCTTTATCACGTGACAACGTCTCTGTGCTGTAGGCAGAAGCAAAGCAGATGGTTAGACAGACACAAGGTTTTCCCTTGGCTTAGTATGGTGTTGTCAGGAGGCACATGAAGTACTTCCCTCCCAACCTGAAGGTGTCTGCCATTACACTTGCTTTTGATGGACCTGTCTGTATGTGTAAGTTGCTACAAGGCCAGCTAGGGTGCGGATTTAGTGTGTCAGGGAACCCACAGTAACACCCCATGGACACATCTGTGCCCAGCAGTAAGCAGGAGACATTTATTCCTCAATGAAAAGAGGGCCTCAGCGTGCACACAGGTAGTTTCCATGGGACAGCTAATACGCTGTCAATTCCCACGCACTCTTGCCTCACTCTGACTTGTGTGTCATACCCCAAGCAAAGGTGAACAAATACACCAGTGAGCTGAGCAGGAAAATCCTCATCCCACAAACACCATTTAGTGTAACACAATGGGCAGCAGAGAGCAAGGTTTAGAGAGCTAGGTGTTTGATGGCTCACAGAATGCTTTTGTTTTCCTTGCTGAAATAAATTGCTTTTGTGTTGAAACTACTTTCCTAGTTCATGAGTTTCCCTTATTGTTTTTTCAGTTAGCAATAGCTCTTACCAAAGTTCATCTGTTTCTCTTTGCACTTTAATTTACAGCCCTTATATTAGTTGTTTTATTGCTTCAACCTCTGAGTGAGAGAACTTTTACAGCTTGTGATTACTGAAGTCAGAGAAACGAGAATGCTTTTTGACCTGCTGAGGGGTAATTATAGAGCTCATTGCTTCTAGGGAGGGGCGTTCAATGTTTAACAAACTGTGGCAATGCTAATTTAACTCTGTGGAGCCTGGACCATTGGATGGGAGTTAAAAAAAAAAAAAAAAGAAAGGAATATTTCCAGACTCTTTCCAGCTTACATTTTAACTTGTCTGGTTTTAATCTTCAAAGGACTGGCCTCAAATTCTGCCTTCCGTCTATTGAACTTGATGCTGTTCCTTTCTGAGCAGTATGAAGGGATTGGAGCCAAACTATTTGCATATGAAAATAATTTTCACTTCAGAAATTATAGCAACAGTACTCTTGATTCATCCTTTCATAGGGTGAGTCTTCTGAAGGCCATGCCAAAAATAAGGCTCTTGACAACAGAGAAATTGTCCTGTGTTAATTACTACTATTGTTTAATATTGTAGGAGGTGTGGTAATGGACAAAGATTCAATTGTGTTCAGCAGTGTAAAAAAAAGAGAATAGATAAATACCCTGTGCTTGAAAGAGTTTGTGATCTGAATTATGTAATCAGTATACTAAGAGGCAAATCTAAACTTTGGAACTGGAAAACAAGATAAGACGTATTTTATGCAATTCACACGTTTTTGCCTGGTTATAGATGCATATGCCAGATGGGTAAGATTTAGAAGGGTCCCACTTTTCCATTGTATCTGTTTGTATCCACTCAAACAGGTATTATTTAAGAAATGCTGGACTTGCCTTCAGGAAAAAAATTAAGACATTGTGAAAGCACCAAAGTTTTTCTACTTTTTCTACTTCTCATCTCCCTAGATAAAAAGATCTGTTTCCATAATAGGTTGCGTAGATCTTTTGTGGTTTTGTGCACTGATGTGTACACACACATTGCCATCAGACTGTGCACGTGTGCTGTTCACTAGGTGCAAATGAAACATTTTCAGCTTATGTGATTTTATACCAAAAAAATTACACAAATTTTAAAGTGAAATTCTTAAAGTTTTATTGGCTTGGCTACATTTTTATCACAAACACTTTTGAAGTCTGGGGTTTGCTGGTTATTTCTGAGAGGAAAGAGGAGGAAAACACAAAGGGTTTTAATTTTGCAAGGCGAACGTGGGCGCAGGCGCAGGGCAGGGGCAGCGCCCTGGGCACGGCCAACACATGCCTGCTCCTTGCTCCTGCCCCTGTGTCTCTGGTGCTCTTGGCACCTGGAACAAATGGCTCCAGGGGCATGGTGGAATGGATAGAGGAGTCTTGTCTATTAGTGCCCTTCAACAACACAGCATGAAGAAACAGCGTCGGCACAACTGGGTAGGAAATAACTGTGATTATTAAATACAATACAAAATTATTGCAAATACAGTACAAAATACAATACAAATGCAAAACACAATCTCCAGTGGCTTTAAGAAGTTAGCATATGGTGTATGATGTCAGAGGATTAAGAAAAACAACACTTAAAGGAGTACTGCACAGTTCATCTTACACTTTAACACTGAGTTGTTGAGAGATACATCACTCATCACTTGCCATTTTGTGACACAATGGTGAAGACCTAATGTAGTCTATCTCATCTTTTTATTTTGACAAAATAGTTTGGACTCTTCAGACAAGGCTAGTATTTTTTCATTTACAACCAGCACGGAAGTACCAATCCTTAAAAAGAAAACCTTACAGGCTTCCATTGTCTTCATTGCATTAGTCAAGTTCATGCACGGTATATCAGTCTATTTACAGTAGAAATGAACAGCAAGTTCAAACTCATGTTCCCAGTACTTGTAGATTTGCTGCTGCAGAGTCCTGGGCTGTTCAGAAGTATGCAAGAAGCAGCATGTTTAAACATGCATTGTTTACTGGCAGCCCTCACATTCTTTTACCATTTGTATCAGTCTAGGCAGTACACTTCTTGTTCACTACATAGTTTCCAAAAGTTTTTTTTTCTTCTACTTCCGAATTTCTCAGTACCTGAGAGTAACTTCAGCTCTTCTCAGACTTCAGTATTAGAAAACCCTGCTGTGTGGTTAGAAGTTCCATTCAAGAAAACAAAGCTGAAAATGATTTTCTTGTCCATCCATCCATCAGTGACATACACGAGTGGCACTGGGCCATTTCTAGTTCTAATCATACTGTAACATTTGTCAAAAGCAAGGATTTAGCTGTTAGGAACATTTCCAATGTCCTTACTTGCTATTTCAAGCCATATTCAGTCTGCTTAGTTCTAGCCCAGACACCACAGTGTTTCACTCAACTCATCTAAATCCTTAGTCTCTCTTCCCATGTAAATAAAAACAGGTTTCTGGTGATAGATGTGGGTTCAGGTGGTTTATCTGCTCCTTTTTAATTTACTGAAACTTGTGTGACTTGTTGCACCCTTTATTCACCACATGTCCAGAGTTTGCTTTTTAGACGAATGCTTCAGTTTCTTTATGGACTCAAGGAATTGAGCTCTCAGCCCATTTGCATTTCATCTAGAACATATTTGATTGTGAGGCTTGGCTCCTCTCAGCAAGGTCAGGAGTCATCTCTACTAGGAAGAGAGACTTTTTTTTTTTTTTTTCCCTTCTATTTCACACTCTGCAATGATTAAAGAAAAGTCTATAACTGAAAAATACGTATTTTATTATGAACTTTAGAACACTTTGAAAAGACACACCAAGTGTTCTTTCTATGGTAATGTTGGTAATCTTTCTTAAACAACAACAAAAAGTTCACTGGGAAGGATGTCAGAGGCCAAAGGCATTTGTTTTCTTACCTCAAAAGTATTAATTTATTAATTTATTTAAATCTATGTATATCCTAAATATAATTTATTAAAATACTAGCCCTATGTTTTTCTTCAGTGATGCTTCTTAATCTATCTATAAGCAACTCCATCAGTGAAAAATGTTAAGATATTTTTTAATTTGAAAGAAGCAAACTGCTTTGTAACTGCCTTTTTGGACCAGCTATTGGGTAGCTATATAACTATATATCTCATATAATTGAGTTCCCGTGCATTTATTGATTTTTATTATTTTTTTTTCAAAAATAAGATTTTGTAAGTCCCAGGTCTTTCAAACCCAGGTCTTATTAATTACATATATATGAATAGTTCAAGCTGTGATTACATATAAAGATGAAAAGTAGGTAAATGTATTTAACATCCACCTGTAGGAAGGATTAGGAATGAAACACAACATGAAATCCAGTGTATTATACTAGACAAACGCTGCCTTCTCTCAGTTTAAATTACTGGTGGTGAAGCACTGCCCCCTGATGTCCAGCAAGCTACCTGGAAAGCTACATTCTTCGGGATATTCTTGGATAATTATTCAACAATCTTCTAAAAACTGTCGTTAATAATAAACAAAGTTGAGAACCAGTTAAGTCCACTATACCCTGATTGAGAGTCAGGTAGAGTTCTGTTTCCTTGCTGCCACTGTGTTCAGCATTCAATCCATGTTGAAGTTTTTCCACAGTTTTTCCAAGTTGCATCCTCGAGTCATTGCCGGCTCAGCAATCCCACCTCAGGCTGCAGAGTCCTGCAAGGACAGAAAAGCAGAAATGCAGATTTTCACGTAGCTTTTACTCACAACTCCATCCTCCTCAGAGTCTGAGCCAAGGTTATGCAACTGGTCTGTGTCAGGGGAGAGCCCTGGGTCCTGGGACAGGGGAACTTCAGAGTCACAATACCTGTTGAGTAACTTGATTGTAACAGATTTTTGAGAGTGAAAAGAAAAAGATAAAAATCTTTCAATATTTTGTTCCAGAACCACCAGCTCAAAATTTTTTTTTTTTAAGAAAGGCAAGAGCTACAGTGAAAAAGAACCAAAACCCCTACAAATCCTGGAAAGCTCTTTGGGGTCTATATTGTTAGCCTTTTTTTAACTGACAAACCAAGGAATACAAGTGTGAAGGTGTCAAGAATATGAAAGCATGCACTTTACCATTATCACTGCAGTTTTCTGTTTTGCAGTGGGGAGGGGGGGGGGAAAGGGAGAGTCTTGTTTCCTGGTCTGAAAGGTTTAGATGGCTGTGTGGAAGTTAACATGACTTATCCTTTTTTTGTTTTCCACGGTTATATGTATATATATGTGTATATATATGTATACATATACACACACCATATATATATATATATACACCATATATATATACACAAATATAAAAATACACGGTGTATATATGTACCATGTGAACGGTAATTCATTGAAGAGTGTTTGAGTTCCTTAGCTGGAAAGTGTTAGGCAAAGATACAGAACAACTTAATGCAGGGTAACTCCACCTGAACACGTGCATGAAGAGAGAACCTCAAAGCAACAGACCTCTGTGAAACTGATGTGCTTGGTGCCATCCCTGCCCTGCTGCCGGGTTTCCTGGTTTCAGCCCGTTCCACACACAGGCCCTGCCGGTTTGCGCCTTTACCACCTCGCCGTGCTTTCCCTCTCTCCAGAGGACGCAATCAGGAACTGTGTACGACTTCCCTGAATATTAACGGATTAACTCAGAGCACCTAAATGAGGATGTCTAGCGACTTATTAATGAACGATGAGGAAGGAGCGGAGAAGCCTCCCTTCTCGCGAGGGGAGGCCAGTCACGGTTCAGTCGCTCTGCACAAGGGGAAACAATGAAGCTGGACGCTTTCCTCGCTCCCTTCCTGGAGCAAACCTTCGGCCCTTTCACGTCACACAAGACAAGACCCGGTTTCCACACCAAATACCCACCAGCGCAGGGAGCCGGGAAAGGGCGGGAAGCGGCGCGCGCTCCCTGCGGCCCAGCCCCACCCTAGCAACAGCTGCGCCGCTCCTGATTGGCCGGCTGGGGGTGCGTGGGTGGTGTGG